CTTAAGAGGGGCATGCCTACTGACAAACAGTCGGCTACTCTCCATGTTTAATTTTCATTTTTACTTAAGAGGGGCACGCCGCTTGTTCCACACAACCGGCTACTCTCCCACAACACAGTTCACCAAGAACTATCCAAGGCTCATAGCTAAAATGATCAAACCAGGCGCCAAGCCAACTGATCCAAATATAAGTTTAATTCGACCTGTCCCAACATTATAGCAGGCGTCCGACGGCATCCATCCGGATGAAATTCGTCGCAGAGAGCAGCTCCCTTTTGGGTGGAACATTGTTCTATAAAATCATTACACGACACCTATACGACTGTCTAACCAAGACAACCACGTAGCCGTTTCTCGGACAAGGATACCTCTCACTTAACTGACTAATCAGGACAAACAAGTGTTCGCAGTAACCATCCAGGTCAACCAACCGACTGAACTACTTGGGATAAGAACAGTCGGTCTCTTAAGAGTTAATAGCCAACAAACATTGGCGAATAAAGGGGAACAACCGGTACCCACCGCTTGATACCTCTACTACTCAGTCATTTGGCGACTAGGTAACAATTATGTTTACTTGGCCACTCCTTAAAGATTTAGTATGAAACTAAAAAGGTGCTCATACAGCGCCTGTTCACACTAGATTAAATGTGGCGGGGAATAGTCGGCCTGGACCGACTAGAGTCTCTAGCTTAAAAAACAAAAAAACAAACAAGACAGGTAGGAAACCACCTTCCTACTTGGTTGAAGGAGATCCAGTCTTTAAAGTGGCCGACTGATCGCTTAGCCTGGAAACAGACAACCAGTCGTCCAGGGGCATAGGTGGCGTGACTAACTACCTCGTACCTGTCCGCAACTATCGGCCATGCAAAACAGTCGGTATAGTATGAAATTGGATATCAAAGTTTCGATACTTAGCAAAATTGAAACAAATTTGGAACAAAACATTTTTTGCATAAATAAACATACCCCCGGCCCCTTGTCCGGGTAAAAGATACAAAAGAAGCCGGTCATTAAAACCGGAAAAATATTCAAAACCCCGGCCCCCTGGTCGGGTAAACAGAAACAAACGGCACGCAGGCCGTGAAAAGAAGACATAAAGCTTAAGAAGGGGGAAGATCTTCAATAGTAGCAGCTGCCGCCTGGTCAGCACTCTTTTCGCTGGACTCGGCTTCAGCTGCATCCTTCTTCGATGCATTCCCCCCAAGTGGCACAAGCGCCACTACCGGCTCCTCCTCCTCCAACGCCTCGTCCTCAGCAGCCGCCAGGATCTCTTGATTATATCTATCAGAACACTGGCGGTACGTTTTTTCCCAGGAGGAAAAGTCGGCATTGGGGAAGAGGCGGCCCCAGGTCAGGCGCTGGATCTGAGCAGAGTCTTCCATCATCTCTCGGACCAGCTCCTTCTTTTCTTGCTCGGCCTTTTCCGAGAGCTCCTGAGTAAGACTCTTCTCCTGGGTCACCAGGCGTTCCTTAACGTGCGCCAAGGATTTCTCCAAGGTGTCGTATGAGGAAATTTTTTGGCGAAGAGGTCTCAGCTCGGCCTTGAGATTGTTGATGGTCGCCTCCAGCTCGTTATTTTTCTTCTGGGCCGCCTCTAACTGAGCCCGGATAACAAAGTAGCCTGGGCCTGATAATAAAGAATGTCAATTGTCAGAACCTCATTTTGGGCAATTTGAAACATTGCCTTATCACAGTCAGAGGCGGCCATAGCTTTTGCAGCCTTTACCTCTTTGTTCTTCCTGTCAAGCGGCTTGCGAAGGCCGTTCACTCGGAGCAGGGCCTAAGTAAAAGGGAACAGGCGTCAGTTTTCAAACAAAAAACAAGCGTCCTGGAATTTAAATAACCAAAAATATGCTAAGTATACCTCAGCAAGGACCCCTGCAATCCCGTCTAGGTCAAGGGTGCCGACACCGCTGACCGCCTCCCTCTCAGCCGGAGGGTCGGCTTTGATCATAGACTTGGCCACCTCGACCAAGTCTGGCTCCTGAGGGTCGGCTGCATCAATCATAAACAAACGAGTTAGACCTAGTAAAGAAGGGAGCAAGTCTAAATTCACAAAGACAGCTTCATACTTCTAGGCGGCCCGATTGGAGTTTTAGAAGGAATGGACGGCAGTTTCTCAGCCGCCGCATGTTTCCTGGCAGAACCAGGAGAGCTCGCAACAGTCGTCCTCCGGGTCTTGGAGTCCGGCTGTTGGGAAGAAGAGGCTCTTGGAGTGCCCGTCTAAAAAAAAAAAAAAAAAAACAAAAACAAAACAACACTCGGTCAGTATATGCATAAACCCAACTCCAAAAGAGAGTGAAAGGTTCGAAGCTCACCAAGGGCGCCCCCTTGTTGGGGGAGTCGGTTGAGGACTGTTGCATGATGGAGGCCCGCAACATGGCCGCCGCAGTCTTGGAGGCGGTAATTTTGCTCATGGCGTCCGCTGCAAAAACAAATAGCAAAGTTAATAAAAAGTCATAACAATAATTCATGGAAAAACAGAGTATTCGACAGGCCGGCTACCTCTTGAGCACTGACTGTTGAGGCCACAGGCGGCCAAAAAGTACTCGTCGTAGAGCCATTTGAAGCTCGGGACGCAGTGCAGGGGTACTTGCTCTCGTACCCCTGAAGTAGAGTCGACCCTCGACTCTACTTTAAAGAGTCCTTTATCTAGGATCTCTTTCATAGCTTTGGGGGGAACAGGAGGCATGCTGCGGCCGCCTGCAAGAAGAGGCGGATTCCTGTTCCACCTGTTGAAGCGCTTGTTCAGCTCTGTGTCTGAACTCTCAATGATAAGGAAGGTGCTTCGCCAGTCCTTCCACTTGTTTGCTTTACCTCTTGTCATGAGGAAGCCTCTGTGGCTCGTCAATTGATACCACCCGGTACCGCCTGCCTTAGGGGTCTGGCTGAGGTAGTTCATGTGGGCGAAAGCCTCGAAGTTTGGCACCACCCCGTGAAGTTCGCACCCGGCCACATAGCCGAGTACGTTGACCCAGGAGTTCGGGGCTAACTGCCATAACCCCAACTCATACCCATCCAAGATCCGCTGAACAGCCGGATGTAGTGGGAAGCGCAGCCCAGCCTTGATGGCCGCCTCGTAGCAGCCAAAGCAGGCGACATCATAACTAGTACCAGCCGTCCAGACGACTGTGTCTTCTGGATCCGGCACGAAAACTAAAAAGCCGGGGCCCATTGTGTGGTTCGCAATAAAGCTCCCCACTTTCTCTTGCATGGCCGTGATCCGGCCCCGTGGGACAGTGCAGTAGTAGGGGGTATTTTGCTCTCGGTGAGAGGCGGATGGCTCCGCCCAATTGTCCCCCTTCTCAACTACGTGAGAAAGCCTCGCCTCTTGTAGGCGGCTGTTTTTCTCTTCTGTGTCCAGAGAAGCATGACCAGAAGAGCTAGACTCGGATTCGTCCTCTGACGAGTCCGAAGAGGACGACTCCTCCCCTCTCCCAGAGGGGCCCGCCTCCTCTCCTTCAAAAGGAGCAGGAGAGAATGTAGACTTGTCAACTGTAAAATTGGAAGGGGTCACTTTGACTCCTCCCTCAGAGCTGCCGGCTTTCAAGCCGCTTTGGTTCACTTCCACATCTGGCGCCTGGTCAGATGTTTCACTAATCGGCACCCTGTGGGAGGAGCCGTCTGAGTTCGAAATCCTAGCAGTCCTTTTTGTTCTGGCCATCATGTTCTGCATAGACACAGAGATAGTCGGACTTTGTATAAAGGGCAAAGATGGGTCCGGAAAAGGGTAAGCGACACTCCTAGTCCTAGATTCAGCCGTCCCCGGTGACCGGCTGATCACTAACCTAGGTCGTGTCGTGTGCTTCCGTGGAGACATTTCAAAAAAAGAATAAAATAAAGAAAAAATTAAGAGTAAGAGAACCGACGATTACCTGAACGAGTGAAGTTGATGGAGTTCTGAAAATCCTGTGCAGTCGGCTTGTCAGAGCAGGCGGTAGGCAGAAAGGGTCCGAAATGTCAGAGCAAGTTCAGGGGTCCGAATGTTCTCTCTAAAAGTTCTCAAGTGTGAAAATGACTGAAGTCAACACTCCCTTATATAGGCGAAGTGAGAAGGCGAAGGGTCACTTCCAAAATTCAAAATTTGGGCGGGAGAATCTCTCGGCCTTTCGCCGAGTGACACCTGTAGTAGGTCGTCGCCTGTTACAGTGCGACACCTGTCACAGGTAACACGTGACCAGTCACGTGCCACCTGTGAGGGGCAAATGATTAGGGGATTTTGCTCCCACCAATCGGAATGCGCCACGTGGGCCAATCAGGTCCTGCCAAGTGTCCCCCAGTTGGAACTGTCAGGGTTTGCCACGTGGCACACTCCTATTCGTCCACCCTGGACCTATTATGTCATGACACGTGGCATCCTCCATGCCTAATGGAGAAACCGGCCACCTAGGCCCAACTTCCAAGGGTAGCCCAATCAGCCCTAGGTTAACCTAAACCTAGGATTGGCACGTTTCCCAAGGTTATAAATACCTCCCTTAATCCTCATTAAGGGGGATTACGCACATTTAACACTCTCACCTAGAGAGACCCAATCACTTTTATTTCCGCATTAATTACTCCTTAATCAAGTACTAACTTGACCGTCGGAGGAGGATCTCCAATCATCCGGAGCATCCGTTTGTTTTGCAGGTACAGGCGTCCGGTTCCAGTCTCGGAATTGTAACTCTCCCGCAGGACATCAGAAAACCCCGAAACAGTTTTGGTGGTTCGTGGGGGTTCAATTTGTGGGTTTCGTTGGTTCATGAGTTCGTGGGTTTTGGTGGTGGTTGTGGGTTCGTGGGTTTTAGTGGTGTTTGTGGATTTCGGCGGGGGTTTGTGGGTTTTGGTTAGGGTTCGTGGGTTTTGGTGGTGGTTGTGGGTTATGGTTTTGGTGGTTGTGCGTTTCAGTGGTTTTGGTGGTGGTTGTGGTTTCTGGTTCTGGTTTTGGCAGTGGTTGTGGTTGTGGGTTCATGTTTTGGTGGTGGTGGTGGTGGTTGTGGGTTTGTGGGTTTTGGTGGTGGTTAGTTGTGGGTGTCGGTGGTTTTGGTGATTCTGGGTTTAGGTTTGTTGATTTTTGTTAATTGTGATTTTTTTGGTTGGATTAATACTTAATTACATGTCCTTATATTTCAATAATCATGCTGTAAAAGTTTTGCCTAGGCCTCCGCAAAAAGTACATTTGTTGCAAATAACCGTTAACGGAGGAAGTATCATATTTCCTGATTTGGTGAGTGAAGGCCATACAGTTTGCATTAGTGCCAATATTGGGCCTATAGCCTATTGGCTATATACTTCCATTTTTTTTTTACTTACAAAAACTGGGCCTATTGGCTAAAAAAAAATAATGGGTTTCATTACTTACAAAAACTCTGTTACAAATGTCTATTAAAAAAAAAAAAAAAAAAACTCTGTTATAAATGTAATTTATTATCTTACCCCCTATTATTGTTTATTTGCCCTCTTTTTGTTTTTTGCATGGTTCTTTATGCAACATTGCAATAACAATTTCCTTAGATATGTATTAAGAAAAAAGAGTTATGTATAAATAAAAACTTAAAATAAAAAATCAATCAAACAAATCATGCTAATGTTGTATTCCATTTTCCCCAACCTATTTACATTTTTTTTTGCCAAATTGACAACAAATTCATTCTAAGGTTGACAACAATTTCGTCACAAATGTTTTTGTCCTGGTTAATTGTCAGTGTCACACCCTCTTTTACGATCAAGTGACTAGGTTACGTCTTACTCGTAGAAATTGTAGTAGGATTACTGGATTAGTAATTCGTGCCAAAAAAAAAAAAAAGTTCTCATATAGTCGTATCAAAACCTTGTCAAGTGTTAAAAGTCTGTGTGCAACAATTTACAAGTACTCCGTTTTATGGAGTATCTAATCTGAGTATCTGAGATTCTGAATTACGGAGTAATAGGACTGTAGGAGTCTTGGAAAGAAGAGGTTAAGAAAGAAAGAAAGAAAGAAAATTTGAGAAAATATTGAAGCACTGAAATCTTTCATTAGACTCCCAAAAGCAAAAAGAAAAAAATGAGAAAGAACCCTAGAAAACCGAAAACCCAGAAAGTAGTGGAGGAGAAAGAGACCAGTGATTCTGAAACTAGCGAAAATTCGAATTCAGATGACCCCAAAATCCCAGAAAACAAAGCAACAGAGTATGAGAAACAAAGAGAATTAAGAATTGCTCAAAATAAGGCGAGAATTGAGGATTTGGGTTTGCGTAATATTGCGAATTCTTTGATGAATTTATCCCAAAAGGGAGGAAAGAGAAAATCAAACCTCAATTCCAAAAGGGTTCCCAAGAATGGCAAAGATGATGATGAATATCAGCCTATTGATGAAGACCCAAAAGATGATAGTAGTGATTCTAGTTTGGATAGTTCCAGTGAAGAATTTGAGGAGCAAGAAAAGAGGAAGAAGAAGAAGCAGAAGAAGAAGGTACATTGATTAATCTCTCTTTCTCTTTTTTTCCAATTTAAAGCAACTTTTGTGTGTTTTTGGTGTTGAATTGTGGTAAAATGTTTGTGCATTTGGTGAGTTATTCATTTTGATTTTCTTGATTTTTGCTTTCTAAATTGCTGTAGTTTGTGCATTTGGTGTAACATTGTGAATCTCATGGCTTCAATTGAAATGATCAAGTACTTTGGATTAGTATATGTGATTGTATTCTTGGTGTTGGTTTTTGTTGATACTTCATTTTGTGGATTGGACAATGTGGGTGAGTTAATAAAAAAATAGGCCTCCATTTGTACAATGGTTGGACCTTTTGTAATTCGATTTCACTAAGTATGGTCTGTCCTGCCTTATATTGAGATTGAGTTGTGGAACGATGACTTTCTAAGGAAAATGATAAAAGCGTAAAGGAAGGTGTTAGAATAGGTATTGGGTAGCTACATTGCCCAAGGATTGGATCTATATGTGTGTGCCTTGGAGGCTTGGAGTCAACTAGTCAAGTATGCTACACCGGGGATCAGTAGGGGATATTTGTTTAACAAATGTTGTAGTTTGATTATATTTATGCCGTTGGCTGTTGGCTGTTGGCTGTTGCCTCATTAAGCATCCAATATTCTAAATTGTATACGAGGAATTAGCTACTGTCACATTTGTGAAATGTGAGGATTACCTGCATTCATACTGGTCCAGTGTTCGGCTTTCAATGGACCGACTTGATTTCTAGGTGGAGCTGGATTCAAGGGTTGTCATTCCTGATAGCAGTCTGCAGTTTATGGGTCATTGCGGGGAGAAAATATGCTTAACGTTTCCAGAGGGTCCCGAGGAGGAGGTTAAGGAGTTGATGGATTGTTTTCCAAAAGGGTTTAATGGGGTAAGCCTTCATTTCAAATTTTTTGTGGATGTTTTGCAAATTGAATTCACAATTTGTCTCAGATTGCTTCTTGCTTGTAGTTTAATCGCGAGACAGGTGAAAGAGCTCTTAGATATATTGCTTGTCTTAAGGCAGATTGCTGGAAATTGAGGAGATCATATGTTATATATCCAGAGTTCTGTGAGGAGGTAATGGAGGGACTGCCTTTTCCTGAGGGTTTTAATGGGGTAAGCCTTGTTTTTGAGTTTTATGCTTTTGCATTTTATGCTTATTGAAATCTCTAATATATCTTGGTTATGCGTAGTTTAACCTGGAAGAAAGTAAAGAAATTTGTGGAGTGATTGTTGCTTTAATAAATGCTCAATCAAGACTGAAGAAATTATTTCAATCATATGTGCAGGTAAAACTCCTTTCTTTTTTTTTTTTTTTTTCCTTGTATCCCACCATATTTTACTCAGCTTGCTCTGTCATCTTGCAGGGATCCAAAAGTTTTCCGTGTCCCCAATATCAGCCTTATACTCAAGTTTTCCGTCCCCAACATCAGGCTTTCACTCAAGTTACGTGTCACCAACATCAGGCTTCCACTCAAGTTCCATGTCCCCAACATCAGGCTGCCACTCCTGTCACTGACCCTGTCCAATTTAATGCTCTTATGTATCCTGATCACGGGCAGTTTTTTCCTTACTGGTGTCCTCCCATGACTCCATTTGGCATGGCCCCAACTGCATGGAATCCTTATAATGCCAACTATGCTCCACCTTACATGGGCAATTCTTCTGGAATGCCTTAGTTTTGATGGACGTATGCGTAGAAAATTAGTTGAGGTGTTGGAGTGCTTGCTCTGCCCGTCAGCTATCAACAGGTTGCTTCATGGTTGCAATCTCATTGAGGATAGAGTGGTTTTATGACCAAAGGAGAGGATGATAGTTGATTTAGTGGATTTTATGAACATTTTAGAGAGTTGAACTTTGTGCTTGTATGATATTGCCCCCTCTCCCTTTCCCAAAAACAATCCGGTCTTATGCTTTGTTGCAATTTAAATGCTTTCTTCCTTCCCCGGAAGCAAGTATGAAAGAATAGTGTTGCACTCACTCATCAATCAGACTGGTCAAAGAGATAATGAAGTTTTAAGTTTGCCTCTTGCATGATTCAAATATCTGCTATGAAAGGAACTCCTTAGGTTTAACAAAAAAAAAAGAAAAAAGTAATTATGAGTAAAGTCTGCCACCAATCAAAAATTTAAGAAATTATCTTAACTGATTCTTTGCTTTGCTTGTGCCAGGTAAACGATAGAAAGTCGAGGTCTCGTAAGCAAAAATCTCCGCAGAAGCAATTAGACACCACAGGTCTTATGGATGAAGATGAAGCTTTGAAGCAGGTAATTTTCAGATTACTGGCTGCAAAAACCTGGAACCAGCAAGAGGGATTTACAAGTAAGATGGGTATAATGTGAGACTGGGGTGATTATACATTTAAACTTAGAAGATTATAGGGTGACTTTTATAATCAATTGATCATGCATTCACGCCCAGAGTTAAATTTAGAAGGGTATATGCTGACTTAAATGGAAATTGAAAAGATTTTTACTTGTTGTAAAACACTCGTCTTATTCTGGTAGATATCTGCAACTTCAGGCTATAGCTCTTTCTTTAAAAGATGTTGGAGAAACCTCAGACATGCAGCATGCTGGATTATCTCAAAGCCCAAACAAGCAAGCAGTTAATGTTGATGAAAAGAGCTATGATCACTCTCGGGAAGACAATTCGAGGAGGAAGAAAAGATCAGTAAGCTTTTCTGTGTTGTAGCCCTTACATGTTGCTATCGTCTTACACTCATGTTATGTTTCGATGTTTCTATACTATGGCAATATGGCAGTTCAAGAATCGTGTGCAAATGACTGAGGATGACCTGGTTATAAACTTCTGCCAATTCGATGGTAATTTCTGACTTGTTTTTATTTTATTTGTACTGTCAATTAATTTGTATTTTCAACATGATTTTTCGAAACCTTAGCTTAACCATAGAAAAGCATATAATAACATGATATGATGCATTCTGATTACCCTTTGCGAAAGCTTAACATCAGCTTTGCAGCTACCTTATGAAGTTAAAAGCCATTCTTTATCATTCTATATGAGTTGCAGAGACTGGGAAGGGGAGCATAACGTTAAGAGACTTGCAACGGATGGCTGCTTCTCATGATTTTATCTGGACTGACAAGGAGTTAGCTGATATGATTCGCTGTTTTGACAGTGATAAAGATGGAAAGGTCTGTTCTACTTGTTCGAGATTCTCCATATCCATCTTTTCTAAGTCTTTACCATATTATCATTTGCATGAACATGGAGTATAGCGCTTGTGACACTTATCTGTCCACATTTCAGCTAACTCTGGATGATTTTCGGAACATTATTCTGCAGTGCAACATGTTACATGTGCTAGAAAATCCTTAAAAAGGTTTTGTACGGGTAATCAAAATTTTCAAGAGTATCAAGTTATATAGTTTCATATGCTTTCACTCATAAATAGTAACAGCAAAACGTTGCATTTCATTGACTGATGCAGATTATTTTGAGCCTCCGGACAACAATGAGAAGTATTGATTGAATGCACTGAAGATGCTTTAGTAGCAAACAATGGAGTAATAGCTAAGAAGGATGATACAGTACATGCTTTAATTCTTTAGTTGCAAATGATGTACTGGCAAAGAAATGCACAACTTGATGACAAAGTTAATCCTTGTTTAATTATCATCTACTTTACAACTAGATGTATGATAATAAGATACAAATGCAAAAAATCTATTGAAAGATCATCGTCTAATACCAACCAGTTGCATATATCAGACTAATCAAACCAAAAATCTTGGTCAGCTACTTCTTAGAGCGATAACCAAATAGCAATCTTAACTTCAAGCCTCCAGATAGGCCAGGTCTTCTCTTCACAATTCATATCTTCTTGACGAGATATCCCAGAATGATGCCAATAATCCCAACAACGATAACATACATGAATGGAATTCCTGCACACTTTTTACTAATTTCACGCCTCAAAAGCTCCTGCATCATCAAATTTTCCAGTAAAGGGTGAAAAAGGAGACCAAGTTGATGCATAGATTATACAAACAAATGTGAATATGTCCAATTCTATCATACTACATATAAAGCTTCACAATTCTTAGCAGTCATCAGTCTCTTAACAAACAAGCTTCAGTTCACTGTTTTAAGCATTTTTGAAAACAAGGTTTTCAAAATAAAATAATAAATGATAATTTTGAATAATAAAACTTATGAAATAGAAATTTAGGCAGAATTTCAAAGGAACAAGAAGATGAAATTTGCACTAAAATCTGAAAATAAGAAAAATAGTACAAGCTTTCAAGAGGCTTGCTCTCTCCCCAGCCAACATTCGTGAGGTTGAAGCTCTCCAAAGTGTTTCAACTATTTAACAATATTTTACATGCCTTCTCTATGCTAACTCTCCCTTATTTATACTAAGGGTGTGTTTGGATTAGAAGAAGTGAAGGGAAGGGAAATGGAAGGATAGAGTATCTTTAATTTGGATAACAAATGAGTAAGGAAGGGAATTTGAGAGAGAAATGAAGTGATTAAATGGTAAGAAATTAATCTCTCCAACAATGGAGAGATTTAGAAGGATAACTCATCATTCTTCCTTCCCTTCCCCTCCCTCCCCTTTCTTTATCCAAACAAACTAAATCTGATTTCTGCTAACAGAATAATACTCCGTATTAGAATAATACTCCGTTTATTTCAATTTTATCCAATACCATGGTTTATTCATGCTGTAGAAAAGCCATTAGAAAATATTAGCAAGAACCAGAAGCATACCATTTCTTGATGAAGCTTATTGTTTTGTTGAATTGCAGAATTTTTCTCTTCCATCAGCCTAGAAATAGTAGCATCCACCTGAAATATGGAAAATATCAAAACAAGTAGTCAATTACAGGAATCAGAGCACCCTGAAAAATTTTAGGCAATTTTTTTGCTAAGTGAACAGCATAATATCAGATGCTTAAAACATTTACTTCGTAATAAATAAATGGTAAATTTGGTTGTTGTCTTGCTGATTATACAACATCAGCACATCATATACTTCAAGCATTCGTGGTCTAGCCTAAAGGCTAAAAATACTTACCTAACAATAAAAGAAAACACATTCTGCGACATGATATAAAATTCTGCTATTTTTTCGTATAATAAGCTCGAAATGTGCAAACAATTCATTATTTACAAGGAAGCAATTCGACAAACGTAAAATTCTAACAAAGGCTGATCATATTCAAATCACAAACTAGCAGATAGTTTGCTAGGATCTGATATCTAATCCAATGATTAAAACTTTGAAGGATGGAAAATCACCTGAAGTGAATCATCTTCCGGCTCAACATGGGTTCTTGTAGCCTGCAAATACGAGAGTCATAATTACTTTTGAAGTTGAAAAGGAGAAAAGTATTTTGCAAAACTCAACGAGCAAGCATAAGGAATAGCTATATGAATAACTTACAGGTGAAAAAGTATCCATATTCCCATTGTCTGATACGGAACCTTCATCTGATCCTTCTTGTACAGTCATTGGAGGTTGTGGGGGTGCAATGTAAGAGACTTTCAATTTCCACTCGTCAACATAATTCCCAGATTCCTTGTTAAACTATCAAAGGAACACGGCAAAAATTAAAATTTGACCTTTCATCAACAACAAAATACACTAAATGCACCCTTAAATCAACTTTCCATCAATCTTGTTAGGCTGTTTGATGAATCAAAGTTTGGCTGATTAAGCATTAGCACTCAGGCTAGTATACATCAACTTATGGCATGCCGAATTAAATAGCAATACGCGCGATTAGTGCTTCAAAATGAAAAAGGGATTACCATATCAGAAGTGATATCCTTGACAGTGAGTCCAGGGCTGGCAATCACACTCTGAAGAAGAAATTTGTCTTTGCATTGAAGGTCAGCAGGTGCTTCCTTTTGCGCTTGCATTGTCACTACAATTTATCCCCCAATCCAACAAAGATAAAATCAATTTCAAGTATAATCATACTTGATACTCCCTCCGGCCTCAAATAATTGTCGCATTGTCCCAACCCCTTGGATTTAAAGACATAATTGACACAAGTTTACTAAAACAGCCCTTACAAATTCTAATAGTGTAATTGGAACTTGGCATAATCAATCAAAACACCCCTTATTAGGTCTAAGCAATAATACTGAGTAGTTGGCAAAATCATTTATTAAACTTAAACTGTACTAATAAATAATTCAAGTAAATGCGACAACTATTTCCGAACATACTAAATTAGTATATGCGATTATTATTTCCGGACCGAGCCCCTAACACACAAAGTATTAGCATTCCAGTTAATCATCACAAAATTTTACTCAAACCCAGAAAAATAAAGCTAAAATTAGAGACATTAACAATCAAGATACTTTTTTTTTTACCTAAAAGATCATGATTAGAATGTGGCAAAACGATCCCAGTATTAGGCCGTACAGAATACTTCTTCGGATTTGTTGTTTTCACCTACAAATTGGGGAAAAAATCAACCAATTTTTACCAAATAAAAAACAAAAAAGACTTGAATTTTGAAATTTGAGTAGTAGAAATATATATATATATAGGAGTAATTAAAAGTGAAGTACCTTAAAAGCAACATTGCAATCAGTATGATTAGTCAATTGCATGGTACAAGGGATCTGCTTGTTCAACTCAACTGCATGTAATAATCATTAAACAACAAAAATAAAAAGATCAAAATCACAAAAATTAACAAGCAAAAATTCAAAGAAATTAAAATAAGAAGTAAAAAAAATACATGGGAATTGAAGTTCTTGAGGTTGAATGCTGAGATATTCCCCTGAATTCATAATTGTATGAAATTACCCAGAAAATCAAAACAAAATTAAAATTAAGAACTGGGTTTTAGAGAGAGAAAGAAGAGAGAGAAGATCTAAGAAGAAAAAAGAGGTTTGAAATGAAAAAAAAAAACAAGAGTGAGAGTTGAGGAGAGAGAAAATGGGAAGACAGGGGAGACGTGGTACAGTGTTAATAGTGTCGACTATGTCTGTGTTTTATGTGTTTTCTTCTTTCATTTTTTGTAGGGTCCAAATTTTTATTTTTATCATCATTGTAATTTATCATCAAAGGTTTTATTATTATTTGTTTTTTTTCAAATATAAATGGATTTGATTTTGATTACAAGAGTATAATTTTCACCTGATGATATAATTGCTTTGACTGAATTTGTAGTACAGTAGTCAATTTTGTCTTACTAACGGTAATTCAACGTTAATTGTTGATGATATCAAATGAATTGACCTCGAACATTACAAATTACTCCGTAATTCATACCAATACAATGCTCAATTTATATAGTTTGTCTGTAAATAATGCGATCACGCAATTTAATTACTTGAAAGTTAGAACTGTATAGTACGGAGTAATAACCATTGTAAGGAGATGGAAATAGCTGTTCAGCTGTGATCACTCTTGCAACAACAAAAATTAGTGCTCAAATATTGATGATTCTTGTTATTAAATCATCAAAATATGCATCTTTTATGTGAAAAACATAAAGTTGGACAGATCTACTATCTATATAAATGTTACTCATACTACATACATTCCCGGTACGATATACTCATTGTCATAGTAAATGTGCCTTCAAAAAACCAAAAAAAAGGCCGTCAAAATTAACATTTACAGAAGATAATTGTGGGCCTGTCGCATTTTATTCCAATAAAGGGAGGCATTTGATATTTATTTTGAAATTTAATGTAGGTCGCTCAGGTTTAATTACTAGTAGTACATACAAGTAGTTACAAATACAGTACTGAACTAGGACATTACAACTGACCAGCAATCATCCTACTACATCACGTACATTAAAAAGACGAAAATCCATTCCCAGAACGGTCAGAAGGTAAGATTCTAGCTAAACCAACATTATAAGAAAATATTGACCACACTCATAGCCGGTGGTGCATTTTACAGTTATGATCTCTGCTCTTTACGCGTTTTAGCAGAGAATCCAGCAAACCAAGCAACCCTCATGAGCTGCAAACCAAGAATCAGCACCCACCAACACACCAACCCCCTTATAGTATGCATCATCCATGCAGGCGCACTAATTTCTGCACTAAGCTTCAAACCCCTCATTAGCTGTAGCACTCTATAGGACTCATATATAACAGGAGTTACGAGCCATACAGGCGATTGCCAATGCCAAGTCAGCAGTTCAGTCAATATCTGCACTGACAGAAGCAGGAGGTAGGGACCTAAAAGTACCAAGTATGAGATGGGTGCAAGCTGTGGTTGAAGGAAACCCTTTTGTGAGCCAAAGAGCAATGCCAAGGGGATAGCATAGCCTATGATTGAAGCAAACATGTTCCAGAATCGGTAACTGAAAGGAGCCTTGCTTTGGGGAGCTTCCATCGGGTCTTTTGGTTGGGTGGTAGAATGAGCCATGAGGAGGAACAAAGTTGCACCGAGATTGAAGATGCAATCAAGCCCAACAAGGGAAAGTAGGCTGGCAATGTTGGACCCAAGAAATATAGACGATATGGGTAACCACAAAGTCGGGACCATGCCAGTGCCAAGAAGAAAAGCAGGACCCAAGATCCACAATGGCCATTTCAGAAAACCTGCCCCTCGTGATGGGCTGCTGGCTTTTTGAGCTAATTTTTCAGAATCAGTAGCTGGTGTAGCTGCAGTGTCCTCCAACTTAAGGGTGTCAAATAAATTGGGAGTTTCTTCCACAAGCTCGGGTTCTGCTTCATCGGTGGGTGCATACGTAAGAGGTTTAGGTTCCCATGGTGTCAACTTTGAGCAGCAAACCAAAAGGCGTTTTATATGGAGTTTTGGAAAAGTAAGTCCAACATGATTATTGGTAAACCTCCTATATTTCTGGCTCTGGTAACGAAATCCAGGAACAGAAATGTTGGGCACTGGAGTTCTAATCAGTGATGACATGGCTCCCGTAAGCACTTGATTTACAGAACTAGCCAATTGCTACTCCTTATCTGCAACAGATAACAAAGAAACATGTCAACCTTAATGACTGAGAATAAAACACTGCCTTAGAGGAGGAGCTTAGGGGAGGGAGGGGGGACAAAAGATCCATAGGTACATATTTGTGGAATTATACTTCGGAATACTCAATTTTCAGCCTCAGTCGCAGAATTAAGCTTAGAAGTAACTTTTCTACAGAGTATATATTAATGAAAAAGTAGTGATCAACAGTCAAACACCATAAAGAAGAATGGCTGAAGACCAACAACAGTAGCCTGATAACACATCCAGGTCTGAATTTAGAAAGATAGGTAGACATATTAAAACAAAACTAAAACCATTGCCTTAAGCCCCCCATCCACATTGATGGCATTTCTGTTTCCAATTTCAAAACCACTCACAATCCTTGTTAGAGCTAACTGAGAATAGTCTTTTCACCCAACTTGATTCACCTCAAAACAAAATACAACAAAACAATAAAGAGGTAATACGACACAAAATTATTAGGTGATGACTTGACAAAGAATACTTAGACAGGAAGAAGCTCCCTTCAATAATAGTCAAACTGAAGCTGTACAGCTCATCTACAAAAAAAGGTATCAGGAACAGAATTGCCGAATACTGAACCTTGTTCACATCTAGGATTTTTCCCGTTAGTAATGAAGCATAAGCTAAGATGAAAGATTTGGAAGCAGCATATTACAGATATCCACGACGAACTCTTGGAAAATCCAACGTGTGCTCTCTTTGTCTCTATACTAAGCTAAACTTCAATTTCTGACCTCGGAAGGTTCAAAACAGCAATGCCACATTGCAACCAGACAAAGTTCTAACAATATTCCTTTTATCATGCCAATCTTTGGAGGTTATTATCACAAAGTAAAAGGCAAACCTCTTGCTCAGGATATCAAAAGTTCTATAAACTGTATTACACTAAAATTGCTCTAAAGTTTTATAAGTTGAATCAACAAAATTCAACTTTACTACCTCTATATCAGTAATCAATTGACTCAAACTGATCCCTAGAAATAGTCTATTCAAGACTTCACACCCAAAGCTGAAATATTAACATATGAACTTCTAGCTGCTTCAGTAATTTTCTATGCAAACTCAATACCCATTTTAAATTTAATCCCAATTCGTATTCTTTTCGCCAAAAATCCCTCTTTTCCCTTCATTCAACCCTAGTTACTGATTAGGGTTCGTAAAACTTGAGAAATTTTCATAAAGGTAATTCGCTGTAATATATGATCACAAAAGCACACTCTGCAGAAATCAACAATGAAATTATAAACCCATATCAACATTAAATTTCAATAAACTATAATTCTGAAAGAAATTAAACACAAGAAATTCACTTATTCAATTCAATTGTTCCAATAAAACAAGAAAACCCACAAATATAAATTACTCAATCTATGAGGAAAAGGGGACTAACCAGTAGTTGATATGATTTGTTGCAGATTGAAGCTGTTCATTTATCAATGAAAATCCCTCGATTAATTTCGATTCATTAAGCTTATATCCCAATTTGGGTTTTACCTTGAATTGAAAATTTTAATTTTGTTTTGAAGAGGTAAAATAGGTTGTCCTGCAATCAACTTGTTTGTGTAGAATACAATTGACAATCATATTCGGTTTTCTTGGAAACATTTTGAAAATAACATTTGGGCCTTTTGGGTCTTAAATACGGGTCTTACATGACATTAGGGTAGAAATCGGATCTTATTTTGTGGGAAAATGATTAGTTCATTACCGAGTAGATATAGAATTATAGATAAAGAATCCACAACATACTTCAAGTACATAGAAAAATCGGTTTAATATATACAATCATACGGAGTAATTTTGTGAGATGATAGATATAACCTTACTTTCATTTCTCTTTTTAAAAAGTAAGTGTTCGTTTTGAAAATCAAATTCTAAAATCATTTTCTTTGGGTAGAAAATGGATCATAGTAACCAATCTAGAAGGTTATTTTAATGGAAAACTTTCTAAGGTGTTTAGAAACTTGATGAGAGGTATATGATCTTAAATATATAATCTAAAAATAATAGCAAAACTATACCAAATAATAATATTAGTAGAAAGGTAAATTGTCATCAATACTCATGGCAATTATCTTTAACATATAAATCATGACAATTTAATTCATACTACCCTAAAGTTATACAACCATTTTGATATTTAAAAATGGTTATACTAGATCAAAACAAATATAATTAATTAGACAATTGGTTTTGAAGTAGCTAAGGTTATAGCATGGATTGTACAACCTCAAACTTAGGCAAATTAAGAGGAGGCAAAGAGAAATGACTAATAGTAGAGCTTCCTCTTCTTATATCTTGCATAGTTAGTAAAGCAGCCACTGTATTCCTAAATATGCCTTCACCCACAACTAGTAACTCATAATTATTTTCTCTCTTTCTCTTAGTATCTTCTACATGTTCTTCGTGATCGACTCCACGAGGAAACGTTGCCTCTATTGTAGCCTCTAGCTCCTTGATAAGCTTCGATATGAGATCGGTCGTGAAGAATGGTTGTTCAAGCACCTTTTGTATGAATGGCAATCTCAACAAACTTCCTGTTCTTTTGTCATACTTCTTTAGGATTTTAGCTAGCCCTTTGAAACCAAGAAAAGGCAAAAAAAAGTGAGGAAGGACTTTTCATGTATATAGTAATTTTAGAATATGATTCTTCATTAAATTAACATAAGTTTTATAATCCTTTTTTTTTTTGTTTTTTTTTTTTTAAAATTGTGTGGCAAGAAAATAAAGAGGAAAATAAAATTTGATGGTGTCAAGGGAATATACCAGTGTAGTTGATGTTGCTGTAGTTGATAAGAAGCACCATTTCACCATGAAAATTGACTATGTCTTTTCTAATCATTCCTAATTCTTCTTTGTAACATAATTCAGAAGGATGACTTCCTTTTGGCCCCCGTGTATTTTGAACTATGTGAATCCTCTGTTGTAATTCCTGCATTGTCGAAGCATTTTTATTTTTGAGTACTTTACATTTTCGAATATATATAACATCAAATAAAACTCTAAAGAAACAATTTCAATTATTACGTGACTACATGCCATATATATAGTGCACAAAAAAAGGTGGTGTTACGTAACAAATAAAAGGTCATGTATAGTGGTATAGGGCGATAAAGGTGGCTTTCGCCTTTTGGTGACATGTACTCCGTAAGAAAATAAAATGGCTTGATTTTGTTATCTATATTCACCTATTGGAGTCTGTGGAGAGCAATGTACATGTATGCTTAGATTAGAAAAGCTGTTAACCTGACGAAAAGTCATAATACTATTGCTAAATATATTCCAAGAGGCCATTAGAAAGTACCAAAGTACTATTAGCAAAATATTATTTGACCAGTCAAGGTTCATAAAGTACATACAGTTTTTTTAGAAAATCATATTCTCTTTTAATCTTCATTATTTTAGCAAGTCAAGGTATGGTATCAATACGCCCACTTATATCAATTTGTGATCAATATATAGCTACATTTTAATTTGAAAGCTAATTTTTATACAAACACCTTTAATTGTAACTAATAGGAGGTTTGTTATTCTGTTAACTTGTACTTTTTTTTTTTCCGAAGAATATATAAGACCATTTAACATTCAAATGAACAAATATACTAAATACCGATTAATTGAGCTAATGACAATTGTTTTAGTAATCTAAAACGTTCACAGTGTGAGCATGCTCTATTTGTACGTATTCACCTTTTTAACGTACTCCGTATATTTTAGTCACAAGGGTATTATTTATGTAGATTTAGAGATACTGGTCGGAATAGACCCATTTGTTAGAGATATATTAGCGTAATGATAAAAAGCTACGGAGTGTATGAATGGATGGATCGGGTGTCGGGTTGAGATATAGCAAACATAACTTGTTATGGCGTAACACCCTTTTAATAGCTGGGTATATGCTATAAGTATCTACGTAAGCATGCAGAGTGGCAGCATATTCTTTTGGCAATTATTTCTCTCTGAGAACAGGGCTTAGGCATATCCTTTTTTGGGGAGTATTCTCACCCTTTCTATTTTGTGACCACCTACTAATATTAACTTAATTATATGGCTAATTTTTCAGGCCATTAACTTCTTCAATTCGGTGCACCTAAATGTGTGTAAAATGGTAAAACATGATTACACAACTCCTAAATTCAGGACATAAATACAATTGCATTTTACTAGTCTTTGGTTTATGAGGCACTGAAGCTGATCAAATAATTTACGAAACCACTAAAATTTGCTATTAAAATCAGGGAAAAAAAATGATGAAGTTCATTACTCCGTATAATAGTAGATTGTGAAAATAAAAGGAGAAAAATTACATTGATGAATATTTCTGGCCAAATCTTTCATACATAACCATCCTAATGCACTCTCCACAAGGTTTTTTTTTGTTACAGTTTAATGACTTTAACCTAGAGTCATATCCTAAAAACCACAATAAGAATCAAACCCCCGAATGCTTGGGAAGATGAAAGTAGCATTCAACACTGTTTCGGATCCACTTATTAAATATTAAATTTCATAATAAATAATACTCATCTAACATATGTTTTACGTGTTTTATTCTCTTTCATAAAGATATGTACACATCACTGTATAGTATTTAGTATAGTATATATGAGTCTTGATCGAACATTTACCAACCTATATATGACGTATGATAATTATGACGGAATTTATCTTTTAAAAAATACCTTTTCTCCAAAACCTCAAGACAAAATCTCAATTAAAATATAAAGAAACATTGAGATTTATAAAAAGTAAAGAAGTTAGTTGCATTCTACAAGTACATACCTTATGCCTAATAATAAAATCTTCTTCCTTCTCCATGAAAAAAGTGTTGAATTTATCAATCTGATAATTCAATAGCAGGACAAATTCAGACTCAGGGTTGCCATACTCCGGCAACATATCACCACCGGGCGGCATCGTCGTCGTGGAGATCAAACGTACAAGCTTCTTCAACTCCTTGTATGACACAAACTTGTCCCTCCATTCCGGCAATGTCTCTTGAATTTGTTGCTTCAATCTCTTGCCAAACTTCATATTTTATTTCCTAATCAACTCAATTAAATTAATTCCTAAGAAAATAATTTACCTTATCAAAATCACTAGTATATATATGGGAAAGATAGCAACCAATATATTGAGCTTTTTTATAATGTGGAAAAAAGGGGTGGAATTAATAACACACTAAGAATATTAAAAAGCATATGCTTATTATTATGAGTGACATATTTTTATTTTTATTTTTTTTATTTATTTATTTTTGGGTAAACAATAATGTTAAGTACATATGAATAAGAAAAAGAAAATAAAAGGACAGTAAATAAAGACGTTAGGTAGAAAATAGGAATTTGGCGGTATATTCCGTTAATTACCAATTGGGTCAACATTGAATAAGGCATGGGAATGACTTTGCTTGTCAAATTGGCATGCCATGTGACAATGTATGGGAAGAGGATTTTTAGTGATTTTGGGTATTTAAGAAGAGCATCAAATTGGGATATTTCAAATTTTCCATCTTTAGTTTGACACCACTCTCATGGGTATGTACCTTTAGGGACTAAATCAACTCATGTTAGGTAGTTACAAGTTTCATTTTTGTTGATGTAGATGTTATATACTCGTAGTAGATACAACTATACAAGTGGGAGGTGTTGGGTATTTATACTTGCTGAACGTTGACTTGTTGTGGATTCCACCTAACTTAATTGGTTAAAGATTAAAGACTTGAGAGGTGACACGCAAGATCCGGGATCATATTCAGTGTAAATCACTACTCTTTATGGCTCTATTTGCACTAGAAAAAAGATACTTGCTAACTTGTTATAAGATATGTTTTTCATTTATTGTGATCAATATATAACAACTACGAGTACTTTTTTTTGATATAATATAGGGATATTTATATTGTTACTATTATTATTATTATTATTTTTTTAAAAAATAAAATCTAAGGCAATCTTCAAAATAATTTGAGGCATAAACTTTAATATAAGATGATCTAATCGAAAGTCACCCTTACAATTGACATTTGAATAAAAGTCAACCCATGAAGCTACTATAATGATTTGATAATGCTTAAGCATTGTATGAACTTGTGTGGATAATTGATGAGATTGAACTGTATAGACAATCTTGAATTAAAGTTCTACCATGTCTTTTTAAGGGAATATTAATCAATTTGTCCTAGACTAGTTTTTACATTATTATTCCTTAATTAAAAGCAGTAATTAATTTTTTTTTTAAAAAAAGAGTTCTCTACCGTATTACATCGTCTCTCATAATCAATAATAATAAAAGATAATATCTCACTATTTTCTATCACATTGCATTTATACTATTTTCACGATAAAAGTAACTCCACTCTCCTTTTAATGTCAAGTTTCAACAAGATATCAATTGATAAACAAAACCAATATATGCCCCTAAATTCAATATTACGTGTCATGATAATTGTCTTAATAAATATGAAGGATTAATAATAACCCTCCCCCCTCCTTAGCTTGATTCTTACATAATTTTTTTTTTTTTTGAAAAAAAAGAATTATATTTGTAGAATTTGTCTTAAGTCTTACTCTTTTAATTAATGCAACTTTTTAGGATGTAATGATACATTGTGGAAATTTAGAATAAAAAATAAAATTTCATTTATTTATTCGTAGAAACTTGAAGACAAACATTTGCATGGCATCATATAAATCTAGTTGATTGTAACAATTGAAGCATGGATCGTACATGTATCCATATGATTGTAACAAGGGACAAGAAGATTAATAACCTAAACAAATCCTATTTAATTAAAATAAATAAAGTAGTGCTCATATATAAAATATGGATTAATATATAATTACATTTTAATATAATGTCGTGAGTATATGCTATTGGTGAAGACAAGATTATCCGATGACATCATATCGATAGTGTTAGATTCGGTGCCTTCATTGATGGTTACATTTGTTCCAAGGAATCTACTTCGAATCTCCTTAACTTAGAACTTAAAATTAAATTATGCTTTGATTTTGCATTTTTAGTAATTGGTCAAAGTCATGCTTTACGGAAAATTATTAAAAAAATAAAATTACATTAAAGTATGATCTGTTTTTGAGATTTTTTTCTTCTATATGCCTATTTTATTTATTAATTTTTATTACTGTTTTCAAGGTTTCTATAAGTATTAAAGGACACTTTTTTTCTTCCATTTTTTTGGGTTTTCTTGACTATTTTTGCAAGAATTTTAATTTGCTCATGAGCTAATTAATCAGTTAGGTAATGATGTTGATAACACAATGAGTGGTGGTAAATTGTCTTTCTCATCCCTCTAGATATTATCATAAATTATATAAACATTGGTGTAGCATAGTAATGTCTTACACAGTGGTCCAATAAATTTTCTTCAACTAGTCACCGAGAGGGGAAAAAAAAAATAATGCTAATCAATGTACCAAGTGAAAATATTTATTAAGACGGTTTGAATAATCATGGCGTGCAAGACCTATATTTCAAGGAAATTCCAAGCTTTTTGGGAAATTTGTGTAATTGACTAATCATAAGGTCTCTTTATATGCTTGACTAACATGCTTGAATTGATTTAATGGATATTTCACTTGGTGCATTGATTAGGATGACAAACCTCGATAAATTGTTTTCAAAATTTTACACACATATTATTATATTTTTTAATCAACTATATATGAGTTTCAACTTAATTTTCTAATAATATTAACTAACACAATCTATAGTTTTTTCTATTTTTTCAAATTTTTTTTGTCAAAATGTGTCACAAGCCTCACAATTGAGCTTTTCTCCCTTTCCTTGACTAACTTTCTCTTTTAAAATGCACCCCTATAATAAAATTGTATTGAATTCTTCCATATAAGTTTTGTTTTTTTGAAAGATCAGATCATTAATAATGTTACATACATTTCTTGATTTGTGTTGCTCTCTTTTAAAGATATTTTTCAATAATGATGCAAATTGGTCAAAAATGAAGGTATAATAAGATCAATAAGTTCAAATAAGTATATATATTACAAATTAAATCATAAGAAGTATTAAGTTGAACATATCCAAAGATGAACAAGGCATATTCAAAGAAGATTTTTTTATTTGCATGTGTATCTATACTTGACTACTCAGTACTCCATCATCATTTGTTAAGGCCTTCATGCTTTGCATTTTGTCAATATGTAGTATATATTCACATACTTTACATCGACCTTCATTTGTACTCATAATTTGCAAGTAACAAAGTACGGAGTATATTATAATTCACACGTGGTTTTGTTACATACTGTATACATTTAGCATAAATTTTCGTAATACCTTTTCACACTCTTAAAAAAAAGCATAAGTTATTTATACAAAGAATATTAATTTTTATAAGGCAAAGAAAACCAGACTTGTAATCGGAGAATTAAATTGCGTGTATAGAGGGATAATCCATGCCATTAACCAAAGAAATGACTGAATTAGTTTAAAAAACAAAATAAAACAACACTCCATACATTTCGGCGATCAAAAACAACACTCTCTCTTTTCTCTCTCCTCCTACCTGTTAGCTGTTACAGTTCAATTCACCTCTTCAATGGAGAAATCACACAATCAACGATCATCGCCGCCGTCAAAACAACCCTTCACCACCACCACCACCACCACCTTCGCAAAAACCTCTGCATCAATGGATGCCAAGCAAATCATCGACATCTTACCTTCTTACATCTCTCTCTACAAAAACTCCTCTTCTAACCCGACCCGAAACCCAAACCCGAACCCAGAAAAATCCGCCATTTTGAAATGGTTTTCTGCTCTCTCTCCTCCCCAAAGACTGGCCCACCTCACCATTGTTGACCCCACTTTCACTCAGCTTCTTCTCCGCATGCGTTCCCACCTCTTTCTCTCTCCTCACGTGACCTTCTTCCTCCTCCCTGACCTTCCTTCAGAGGATTCTCAACCCACCATTTGTACTCGCCGATCTCGTGGGTTACTCGCTCGAGTGGCAGATTCGAATGAGTCGAGTCGTTTGCTTCGATCTTCGATTCTCCTGTTTTCCTCTTCTGAGTGTTCTGGGGTTTCTTCGGGTGCTGAAACCCTCGACACGGTGACGTTTCGTGAGGGGTTTGTTGAGGAATTTGATCAGTTTGTTCGGGTTATGGACCGGGTTTCGGACTCGGGTTTTTTAAATGGGTCGAATTCGGATTGGGTTGAGTTGGGGAATGAGTGGCCTGAGTTGGGGTGGTTGAAGGGTAAAGGGTATTATAGTCTCGAGGCGTTCGTGGCGAATCGGGTTGAGGTGGCGTTGAGGTTGGCGTGGGTGAATGGTAGTGGTGGGAAGAAGAGAGGGATGAAGTTGAAAGAGAAGGCTAACAATGCTGTTGGATTGGGGGTAAATGCGTATTGGAGGAAGAAAGGGTGTGTTGATTGGTGGGAGAAGTTGGATGATGGTATGAAAAGGAAAGTGTTTCGGATGGTTTTGGGGAAGACCGCGAAATCTATGGTATTTTCTCCAATTTCTTTGGTTTTTGATATTGTCATTTAATTTAATTTACTCCCTCTGATTCAAATTATGAGAATTGGTTTGAATTGCATTGGTTTGTGAAGTGGCATACAATGTTGTATTTGAATTGTGCAATGACCTATAATGTTATTTGTAACTGTACTATAAGAAAAACAATAATGTTGCATTGATATGGTTGAATGACTTGTATGATGGGATCTAAATCAATTGGCTAAAAACACTTGCATTTTGGATTTGAGGAAGCAAGGTTAATATTCATGGTATTTGTCGGAAAGAGTTGAGTGCATTCTAGTGTTAAACGAAGTATTAGATGGAAATGATTCGAAACTATGTTGGAATCAAGTAGTTTTAGGTTGTATAGACTGTAGATGTTTGGAAAGTGAGGAAACACAAATGCTGAATGTTGGGGAACTGTTCTTTTCTTGCATTGCTCAAAAAAGCGTATGTTTGCCTTTCTTTTACAAGCGTATGAAATAGGTGGAAATGGCTTAAGACTACACAACTAAAGGTCTTGCTACTAAAGCTTAAGTTTGTGTATTTTAACATAGATAGACAGTAAGGTGTTTCTGTAAATAAAATAAAAAATAAACATATAGTAAGATCTTTGAACTGTTTTTCTTTAGTTTCAGTTCTTTGCTAAATTGTTAACCGCCCACAAGCATGTCAAGTCTAAGGATAAATAATCTCAACCATTTGCTTTTCCTTCATCAAAAGTATTCAACATGTTCAGCCAAATTAAATATTAGGGTCCAAAACCCCAATGTAAACCTACATGTTTTTTATTTTGGTAATGTATGTGTGACTCTCTTTGTCACTATTTTGTTAGGACAAGTGAGAACTGAGAAGTATGCCTTTTTTTTTTTTTATAATAATAATTATTATTATTTTAAAACTTGGACTAGCTTTATAGGCATATCACGATTATTTTTTTAAAAGGATTTAAAGATGCTGTTGTTAGAAGGATATAGTGCTCTCTTGAAGAAACTATCTAATTTTTCTCAGAAGAGTTAGTTTTTCTTCTTTTTCATTCTCCCGGTCCTCGTTTTTTCTCCTTTTTAGACGCAGATGATGCAGCTGATGCAATGTTGCAAATCTATATGTGGGTTGCAAGGTATGACTAGTTGAGGCTATCTGGAGAATGCTCACCTCCTGGAGCATGGAGGTGGTTATTAGAACATAGGCATTGGCAATGGAAGTCTATGCAAACTCACTTATTTGTAAAACTACTTGCCTGGTTCTCAAATTTTTATGTTACAAGTATCTTGATGGTCCAATATTAAAGAAAGAAGCTTCTATCCCAATTTCCAAGATACCATAGCCATGCTTTACTAAAAAAAGCTTGGCAAGTCTGGAGGTTAAATGTCGATGACTTTTCTGCTATACGGCTTTCTTTTGAGCTTATGGTGGGGAAGAACTCAAGCTTTTCTTGTAAAGTATATAGGTACTTGGACACTTGGTATAGGGGATTTTTTGTATGAAAAATATGAAGTTGCTGCCTTGGACTTTGGCCATTGCTGAACTATAGTCTGACTTCTGACTACTCTAAGTTTTCAGACGGGTGAAATCTTAAAAGGCGCTGATGGGAGCATGGAGAACGGATTGTGGAATTTCGGTTTAGCGGAGGAGCAATCTGTGAGATACAGAGATCAAAATGCACCCACTACAGAGCATTTACAAAGACGAGCAGAATTAGGCTTGACATCTGATCTAGTTTCACCTTCTTCCAGGCCACCTACCATATTAAGGCATGTTGTGAACCGGTTGTTTGTGCTTCAGGTTATAATTGAAATGGCACTAACTTGCCCTCATGATAACTTTAATAAGGAGAAGATCTTTTTCAGCTCTTTGGAATCTGTAAATATGATTGCAGATGGCATATTGAGCAAATTGAGAGGATTACTTATGGCTGTTTCACTTGATTACATTAAATTTGAACTAATGGATGAGGAGAATCATTATATTGTGGCAAACAAATCAAAGGAGAAGCAGGGTGGAACTCAACGTAAGAAGAAGGGGAAGAATCGTAATTCTAAAAAGATTAATCCAGCTATAAGGAATTGCGATAATGCCTTTGTACTTGACAAGACTCATGAGGTATTTCTCTCTCCTTCTGTAGCTTTTGTTGCGGACCAGTTTTATAATAGAGAAAACATGATTTTGTTACTTATGAATTAAGATATTTCAAGGCAATGAATCTGGTTTGTGCATGCTTGCATCAACCTGTTGAGCAAGGTGGGGGGGTGGCGAATCTTGAGGGAGTTAGTGGATGGATAATGCCTCTATCTTTGGGGAAAGGAATAATGTTAGGTTGCACAGTGTAGTTTTTGTTTCGGTTGACTGTCTTCTTAAATGTTGAATTCTCAATTTTTTTTTTTTAATCCTTTAAGACTACTGAAGCACTGACATAAACAGGTAAAGGACCAGACGTCGGCTCCTGAGAGGTCACAAACTTCTCCCGTAAAGAAGGGAAAACAAAATAAAAAGAAGTTGCGTGGGAAGCCGGATGCTTCAAGTAAAGTCCTCAACACTTCAGCTGAAACACAGACTGCTTTCTCTTCCTGTACCACCACAGAATGTGAGAAAGAACATATCTCTACAGATAACGCTGCTGGTATGAAAAAGTTGTCAAATGACACTTCTATTAGTTGTCTGAATGGTCAGCAGAATTTAGCTCCTTGCTATGGAAAGGCTGGATGTACAGAGGTCAATCTGTGTAGCTCTGAACGAGGTGATATAACATCTTCTGTGGGAGACCAACATAGTCCCAGGATTGACTGTCACTTACTTTCGAATAAGCTGAAGAATGCTGTAGTTCCCAACATGGAAACTGATCATCATTTAGCGGAATCTGATATGAGTCCTGTTGAATTGACGACAGAGTTTCAAAGTGTTCATGAAGCTAATTCTGATGGAGACCCTGTTACAGTGGCTGCAGCAGAGTATCAGAATAATCAAATTGCTCAAAAAGACGATGATGGTCATGAGGACCATGCTTCCTGCAGCACAAATGCCATGTCATCGTGTGGAAAAACCGTGGATGATAAAAGTAAAACAAACCTGATCCGTGAACAAGATAACCAGAGTTGGTATAATGGTGAAGCTGTAATTCCTGCATATTATCCCTCATATGAATGGCCTACTGTGGCCCCTAATCGTTTGGCTGGCTTCGATTCACATCATCTTCCACCTGCTACAGACAGATTGCATTTGGAAGTTGGTCACAACTGGCAAAATCATTTTCAACATTCTTTCATACGACAGATGCATCAGACAAGTTCTAATATTGGAGGACAGATGGGTAGGATTATGCCACAACCATTACCAGCTAGTTTAGATTGGTCCCCTGTTGTACAGACTTGTAATTATGATTCTCCATTTATTTCAAGGCGTCAAACTGGAAAACAACAAAGCTTTGCTGCCCAAAGTCCCCATAAAGGTGCTTTAAGTAGTGAAGAAGAAAGAAAATACTTTGCAGATTACTTTGACTTCTCTGAACCACCTAGCGCACAAGAGTTAGCTGATGAATATGATAGCCATTGGGTATCAGAAGAAGAATATGAAGTCCATGCTGTCTCTGGCAAAGACTACAATCAGTTCTTTGGTGGCGGCGTCATGTATTGGAATCCTTCTGATTATCGGGGAGCTAGTTTCTCTCGCCCTCCTTCACTTAGTTCTGATGACAGTTCATGGGCTTGGCGTGAAGCTGACATGAATAGGACTGTTGATGACATGGTTGCATTTTCATCATCTTATAGTACAAATGGACTAAACTCCCCATCTGCTGCTCCTTTTTGCTCTCCTTTCGAGTCTTTGCCTCCAGGACATCAACCAATCGGCTATGTTAGGTCCGGGAATGAAGGGAAAATGGTTCATAGCTCTTCAACAATGACAGACTTGGAGTTGGAAGATAAAATTCCAGGATCTTTGGCCAGTATATCTGGTGATTGTGATGCCAAATCTGGAGATTCGCTTCCTTACCCAATTCTCCGGCCTATAATAATTCCAAGTATATCAAGGGAAAGGTCAAGATCCGAGTTCAAGTGTAATCGTGAATTAAGAAGTCCTCGCGTTCCTCCAAACAGGTGTGAACATCCTCGAATTAAACGCCCACCTTCACCTGTAGTGCTTTGTGTTCCACGTGCTCCCCGTCTTCCTCCACCTTCTCCTGTAGGAGACTCCAGAAAACATAGAGGCTTTCCAACTGTTAGGTCTGGTAGTTCCAGCCCGAGGCACCTGGGTGTAAGAGGATGGTTTCATGATGGGACTAACGTTGAAGAAGCTTGTGTACGTGTTGATGGTGCTGAAGTAATGTGGCCATCTTGGAAAAATAAGAACTTTGCTGCTCGGAAAATGGTTCAGCCTTTGCCGGGAGCAATACTGCAAGATCGCTTAATTGCAATCTCCCAGTTAACTCATGATCAAGAACATGTATGTGAGTTCTCTTTGTAGTTGCTTTTACTTTTTTGCTCACAATAAATCTCAGCTTGTCACCTTACTTAACTGCAGCCAGATGTTGCTCTTCCCCTGCAACCACCTGAGTTTGTAAATTGCTCAAAACAGAAGGCGTCTCTCCCGTTGATGCACAATCTTCTTCATGAAGAAATTGACTACTTTTGTAAGCAGGTAGTTTCTTGAAATCTTATTATTATTTTTTTAGTTCGGATGCAGCTTGTGTGCGTTTCTTTGTACATTGTAGTGCCTCCAAGTCTACATTCTCTTCCCTACAGCAATGCTGCATATGAATGTTTTTTCTCCTCTTGTAATGATCAAGGTTGCTACCGGGAATTTAATTAGGAGACCTTATGTTAATTGGGCGGTGAAGCGGGTGACACGTTCGCTCCAAGTTCTCTGGCCTCGTTCCAGGACCAATATATTTGGTTCCAATGCCACTGGCTTGTCCCTTCCGACAAGTGATGTGGATCTTGTGGTTTGTCTTCCTCCAGTGAGAAACTTGGTGAGTATTCTTTGTTCTTTTTTAAATTGTAATTTCTTCTTTGAAGTTTGTGCTCATTTCTGTGCTTTGGCCTAACGTGTACATTGATGCATTTCCAGGAGCCTATTAAGGAAGCTGGAATCTTAGAAGGTCGTAATAGCATAAAGGAAACATGTCTACAAGTACGGGGATAGAGTTTTTAATTTGGTGTTACTGCCATTGCTGTTATGATTCCGTTCTTCTTTTGCTACACTGGTCATTGTGGTAGAGATGTAATGAGCAAGCAGCACTAAGTCATTGATTGATTATTTTTCTAAACCATATGTCTGTCCACTGCAGTGTCTGATCTTCTTGCTTTTTTCCGAGTGTTTTGTCATATCTTGCTCCATCATATTGCTTGCAGATGAAAAAAATGGAGAATATTAGCTTCACCAAATCCATTTAATTTTCTAGACTACTCATTTAGCTTACTTCTGTAAGTTAGTACCTCCTTTCATTACTCTATGCTGCTTGTTGCTCCAGTTATTGTATTTAAACAGCTGATTCTTACTTCCTGGACATCATTTATTGGACGCATATGTAAAAATTTATGTTTATGTTAAGTTTAATGTTGTGGGCATTGAGTTAATTGATAGATGAGATACTTTGCTACTGCTGTTGGCTTACATAGAGTACCTTTCACTTTTTAGATAAGTGGCATCATACCTTCAAATGAGATTCATCTATGATTTAAGCTGCTCTCAAAGTCTAGTTATGCTCATTGATTTTCATCTGCCTGATTTTCTTCTTGATTCTTGACTTTTGTCTTCCTATCATTACTCTTTTGTTTGCTTAGTTTTCAAGTGGTTCATTGTGGACCTTTTAGAAAGCTTAATCTGACACAATGAATCTTCCAGCATGCTGCTCGATACCTGGGAAATCAGGAATGGGTAAAAGCAGATTCTTTGAAGACCGTGGAGAATACAGCGGTAACAACTCTTTTTATTATATCTCTACAAAATGAGGTTGCTCTTTCAGATTTTGATGATTCATCTTTTGCAATATATTTTTTTCCCTTTGTTGTAGATCCCCATTATCATGCTAGTAGTGGATGTTCCACATGATTTTGTTACTGCAACTGCTGCGCCTACTGTGCACATTTCCTTAAGGGGTCAAAATAAGCTGAATGATGGACGATCTGTTGATAAAAATGATAATATTGGCTCAGACAGTGCTCCTCAACCGACTCACTCAAAAGTTATCAACTGTGACAAAGATTGTATATCAGTTCGTCTAGACATTAGTTTTAAGTCACCCTCACATACAGGGCTGCAAACAACTGAATTGGTATACATTTCTACTTCGATTTTCAGTTGTTTTCTTATTATATCATCATTTTAAACCTATTGGTTCCCAGTTAAAATCTTGCAAACTGCAAGTGAATTGTTAAAATAGGTAGGCTGTTTTTGCAGTCATTTATTTGGCCATAATGATGCTAAAGTCGAGACAATAATTGCTAATTCTCTGCTGGACATATATAATGGTTAATTTGGTGCTGAAAGTAATTGCTTCAACTAATTACTTATTTGTTATTGCTAATATCTTATAATCTTATGTCGGAAAACTAATGAAAATTCTGATAGAATATAAACCAATCTTGGGACTCCAACCATCAGTTTAAGCTTTTGGTTAGTTGGTCCTTTGACAAATCCCTTTTGTTTATTTTGTGATGAAGCTATTAATGGGTTTCTGTATCAGCATTGTTTTCATGCCAAAATGTGCTATGCAGGTTAAACAGCTTACTGACCAGTTTTCTGCTGCCATTCCCCTGGCTTTGGTACTAAAGCAATTTTTAGCAGACCGTAGCCTTGATCAATCGTACTCGGGAGGCTTGAGTTCATACTGTTTGGTAAATATTTTACCTGATTGTCTATTATGCTACATTGTTACTTGTACATAATTGCTTGCCAAGTTTTGTTGTTCCTAGTTTTGTTACCCTCTTCCCTATGTGCTTCCTGATTTCATCTTGACATGGATTAGGATGAATTCTTGCTTTCAATCAATCAATCAATCAAAGCCTTAATCCCATAAATGGGCTCGGCTACATGAACCAAAATTGATTATTCCGTGTGGTCGTCCACAAAAATCTTCCTCCTCCATCCCTTACGATCCAATACCTCACCCTCATGCAAGTCCATATACTTCATATCCTTCCTAACTCCTTCCAACCAAGTCATTTTCGGTCTCCCTCTGCCTCGTTTAACCCCTCCATGGTCCCACCCTTCCACTCTTCGTACCGGTGCATCCTCGGGTCTCCGTCTTACATGCCCTAATCTTGACATGGATTAGGATGAATTCTTGCTTTAATTAATCAGAATTGAAATATGGTGATTTGTTTTGGCTAATGTTTCTACCAAATTCCTGTAGCACTTACATTTGTTGGTAAGAGTTTCGTAACCATGGGCAATGCTTAGCTATTTTGCAATCTTTTGCAGGTTTTGCTGATTACACGTTTTCTTCAGCATGAGCATCATCATTGCCGGCCTATTAACCAAGTATGAATCTTAGTGAAATTGCTGGTGCTCCATAAAGTTTGGAGACTTTATTTTTCCCTGATTAGATTTGCTGTACGGTTTATAAAATATCTAATAAAAATGATAGACTTTGAGGGAGATTTTTTCTATTTAATAATAAAAGCAGGCAGGTGTTGCATTTTGTTAATGGAGCATCTGTTAGGTATACACAGACATCTGTCACTTGTCTGGCATGTTAGATCTTTCATGTCATCTGTGTGAATGGGCCATATTGATATTATAATTGTTGGAAAAAATTAATATATCCTCAATTGTCTGCATAATTTTGCTCATAAGTATAAAAAATTTCCTAAAAGAAACTTTGCTCACAAATCATGACAATAAATGATTTATGATGTTAGGGGGCTTTGTTGTCCAGGTTAAATATCTAAGCTGGAAAAATTTTAATTATCTTGTTTATGTACACTCTTTGATTCCATGTTTGTTGAAACAGTCAAGGGAAAATGTATCTTTGACTAGTTGACTGAGACCAGTTCTAGAGGTAGAGATGGCTATAACCAAGTTATATTCCTCGGTGCTAAACTGAAGTATAATTTGGTAAAATCATCCTCAAAAAAAAGGCGAAGAGGGAGAAAGGGAAGGGTATTTTTAGATGGGTTTGGATTTGTGACATTTGCATTTGACCGAATAACTTATTCAGTTTTATTTGGGTGCATCATTTGTGAATAATATAGGCTGTCAAATAATTATCAGAAAACCTGGTATTTGGAATATGTTGTTGTGTTCCCAATTATTAGTTGAACTTGGGTTATATTCTTGATTTTATTAACAATAGAGTAAAATATTTTGCAGAACCTTGGGAGTCTTTTCATGGATTTTCTTTACTTCTTTGGGTGAGTTGAAGGATGATTAGTCATATTATGTATATATCTTTATTTCTGCTGAATTCAATGACTAAACATTAAATCTCAAAATGGTATCTGGCATTTTTCATTCTAACACCTTAATTAACTGGATGCAGGAATGTGTTTGATCCTCGACAAATGCGTGTCTCAATACAAGGGAGTGGGTTATATATAAACAGAGAAAGAGGATGCAGGTAACTGAATGACTGTTGTAGCATCAGCATACATTCTTGTTTGATTTGCTATCATGATTTTATGATTGCATGATTGTTGTCTTATCTTGATATATATCGCCTGCATGCTACTGTAGCATTGATCCAATCTACATCGATGATCCTTTGTTTCCAACAAATAACGTGGGGAAGAATTGCTTCCGGATTCATCAGTGTATCAAGGTTTGTTTGAAATAGATTTATTTATACATACTTGCATCTATTTGTTGGTCCATTTATATTGTTTGTTTTAATTTTTATTTTTTATTTTTCACTTCCTGAAATGTGTCTTGCTGAGCTGCTTACCGTAACTTTGTGGCTGGCTTTATTTTGAAAATGTTGATCAGACTAAATCTTCAATTTAATATATACAATAATCATGATCCAGCTTCAATTTATATAAGGGCTGAAGCCAGGTGATTAATAAAACTATCATCAAGTTCTATAATGTGTACGTTCTAAATGATGATGACATTTAGAATTTGTGTTTCAGTAGAGAACTATTATTATCTTTTTTACAATAAGTAGTTTTGTAACCTTGACTATTGCCATTTTGGTATCAAACAAAAATGTCTGCTTGTTTTTTTGGTTGACCCGGACTTTTGTCAACTGGATTTAGTGGCACATATCTTTGAATAGAAATACATATGCCATTTGTCTTGAGTTCTTGACAATTTTGGTATTGCTCAGGCATTTGCAGATGCTTACGCTACTTTGGAAAATGAGCTAACCTGTCTTTTAGCTGAGGGTGATGCAAACACAACACAGCAGTACCGACTGCTTCCAAAGGTCATCCCAAGTATAAGTCTTCCATAGTGGTCCATCTCATGTGTTGTGATGAGCTGATGACTGTGGTAAGTTCTTTCTTAGAATAATTATTATTTCATGATATTTTTTCCCTTAATTTTTTTTTTCATTAATAAAAGAGAGACAAACTGACAATCCCTACTTCTCCACAAGGCACCCACCTCTACTCCAATTCTATTGTTTCCCTCCAGTGCTTGGTTGAGGTGTTTTGCTTTGATAACTGGAAAGACTGATTATTGGAGTTGGCTTAACCAGGACCCAAGATGTTTCATGGCAAGGTAAGCTCACTCTCAAACAAATCAATGTTGACCAAAACAAACAAGGGTGACAAAACTAATTGGACTATATTGGCAAGCTCGTTGACACTGATGCCAATGTGACCTGAACTGGTTTAATTAAAATTGGCCAGAACCAAACTGGCACATGCTAATTTAATTGTCTGTGGGCTTATTCTATGCTCTTAGTTTCAAATGTCTTTAATATTTGATGGACACATTTAAATACTTGTAGATGCTTCATGCTTGGTCATTCATTGCACTTAGAATGGTACTGCAAAACATGGGCACATGTCCTTTATCTCTGGTATGGGCCCAAATTGTTGTATAACTCGCTGGTAAAAGTTGAATGGTTGTTGCTGACTATTTTTTGCTTATTTGGTAGATTTCAATGGTCGGAGGCTTGTTGCTTATTAAGTTGGAGTTTGTCAAGTATATGCAATGTTGAAGGTGAGATATGGATATAGGACACATAGTAAAACCATCAAAACTATCTGTTAAGGTCTGACCACTGCTTCTGATAGATTAGTGTCATTTTTCTGGATATATATAACGTCTGCTTGTTGAGTGGCTCTTGCTTTGAGCCTTGGCAATTGGCATATTCTACCTTAATTATCCTTTTTTTTTTTGCTAGCTAGTCATTTTTTTTTTTTGTTATTTTTTTGCCAGTCAGCCATGCATCTGTAGATTCATCTATGTAAACTTAACAATTTCTGCTCTGCGATTACTGACTGGTGTTTCATTATGCGGAATTACAGGTGAATATGCTGCGAGCTGATGGATGCTTCACCTGCTTGGATATATCCTTAGACCTTGTATTATGCATGGTCCTCCTGTTGTCACTTGTCAGTAGAGCTTGCAGAGCTCACCTCTGAATACAGAAAACTTAAGTTGACGAGAAGAGGTAAATCCTTAAGAAATAAGAATCTCTTTTTTCTTGCTGGGGAACTTCACATTAATTGCCTTGATGGTTTTTAATTTTTTTTTTAATTATTGCACATATTTCAGAGTGCTATGCTGTAACCACTTCTGGTCGAAGTTAACTTGAGTTAGATATCTGATTGACTTAGTTTGAGAGACGGGATACTTTCTTGGCTGTTTAAAAATAGATTTGGGTAAGGGAACAAGATCTATTGATCAAATCTCCGAACTACTTGACTTCATTCTTCACCAAATATTGTCATTTTATCGAAAAAAGAGGCCACTGAGCCACTCAAACTGATCTTTTAACCTAGAGGTGGCAATATGTTTGTTTGGGAGACCCTTATTATAGATTGCAATGAGTGGTTTTTGGAAGAGAATTGGATATACTTAAACCAATCAGAGAGTGAAGTTCATGAGTTATGCTGATGGAAAACTGCATTGATTTCATGGTGGGAATCTGTGTGGAAAAGTTTCGTATATTTATGTGATCCTTGTGGGCCATTCAGCCCCTCAATTGGTTACTGGTCGAGGGTTTGGCGTGTTCGGGATCTGTGTATGTACGGATTCTATGATCTGCCGATGAAGCTACTTGCAATGTCATCACTGACACTTAGAGAGGTGGTCTTTTCACAAGCGGCCGTCTTGACAGGTATGCTGCTAAGCTCTGCTTTTCTTATCAAGGATACAAATTCAAGATCTGATCCCTCCATTCATTCAATAAAAATTCTCTTTGAAGAACAGTTCTGTCCTTGAAATATGTGGTCATGAATCATGATAAAGTGAAGATGATAGTGCATTGTCCTCGTAAAGTCGTAAAGAAAAAGTCGAGAATTTTAGCAAAATTTTATAGTCATACTGATTTATGAAGCCATTATTGTAAACCTTACTGCTCTTTTGTGTATTCTTACAGTTTTTAAACTGAAACTTAATCCTCAATCGAATTTTGTATTCAGTCGTATTGAAAATATAAAGAGTAGGTTAATTTTTATTTTTTTTATTTTTTTTTTGGTAAGATCTTTTAATTTGGATCCTATGTTTTATGACTAGCTAGTAGCTACTAGCCAGACGTAAATCTTGCAAAAAAAAATTAGATACTACTCATACTAGTATATTTAGCCGACTATGGTTTTGTTAAACATTATTAACGATCAAGGCTATAAAATACGAAGTTTAAAATAAAAGGGACAGAAAAATAGCAAATCAAAGGACAAACTCTATTTTGAATAATTCATACATTATCACAGATTAATATTAATCACATGTGTAATTCTAAGATAATGTAAAATCTCAACTAAAATATTGGAAAATACATGATTAATAAAATTAATATTGTGCAATCTTTTCATTCACAGAACAAACCCTTGTTCATTCACAGTAATCTATTGTTGCAATTCCAATTGATTTGCCAATATAACTTGATTATCTCCTTGACCATACTTTGCTAACTCCGCTTCAATATGAAAATCTGAACCAAACAATTCTTTTATTGAAATCATGTCATTACCAAAACCTAATTCGTCGTCTACGTGACAACCTTGCATTAGATCACCCCCGCATACAACTTCATTGTTATCTCCTTGACCATACTTTGCTAACTACGCATCAATATCAAAATCTGAATCAAACAACTCTTCTATTGAAATCATGTCATTAACAAAACCTAATTCGTCGTCTACGGGACCTTGCTTTAGATCACCCCCGTATACAAGTTCATTATTATCTCCTTGACCATACTATGCTAACTCCGCTTCAAGATCAAAATCTAAACCAAACAACTCTTGTATTGAAAACAATTTATCGCCAAAACCTAATTGGTCATCCTTGTTGCATTTGAGAATCGCCGCATACAACTTGATTATTATGTACTTGACCAGACCACTTTGCAAACTCCGGTGCAAGATCAAAGTCAGAACCACACAAATAATCCTGTATTGATAACACGTCATCGCCACAACCTAAATGCTCATTATCTACGAAACCTGCTTGTTGCATTTGATCACTGCCGCCTTCTTATACATGATTTTCTTGTTCATCATGTTGTGGAAGCACCACATCATTATTATTAGTTGTACTGCCATCAACGGGAACACCTTGTTGGTTAAAAGATTTCGGCATAAGAAAGTCCTTGTTCATTCACCGGCGGTACCAAGTTTATGTGTTGCCTTTTGTTTTCTTGAACAACATTATCGTTGTTAGTAGTATTACCAACACTAACACGTAGTCTTTTTTGTCTAATTGTGGAGACATTATTAATGTTCTCCTCCAAAACATTACTCGTAAACTCATGCATACTCCATTCAAATTCAACTCCATGAACTTCAACAGGTTTCGAAGTCCAATGACTTCCTCTTCGCCAGTACAGGTATTCTTGGCAACAACCGGATCACTTCTTTGAAGTTTCCAAGTACCAAATCTACCCGCCGTTCGTATTCTATTCTTAACACGATTACAATCTCTGTCACCAGACGACACATTCTTGGGGATAGTAAAGAAATACCGGACTGTGTCCTCTTCTTCACGGTCAGATTCTTCGAAAGAGTCGAACACAGTTGACGGATGATCAGCATTTTCGCCGAAAATATTATTAACAAGAGGCATCCTAGGACAAGATAATGGTGAATCAGCTCATCGTCTTTGGGATTGAAACGATAGCCGGGTGGTAGTTTAGACATGTTCATTCACTAATCAAGGGTCAATACTCTTTTTACTCTTAATTAATTAGAGAACATGTAAAACAAAGAGAAAGAATAGGGATTGCTACGTAGAATTGTGTTTTATGAATTATGATGAGAATTAATTAAGACATTTGAATAGTTTATATAATAGGAGGGAGTCGGCTAATACGTACTATAACTAACTTATCCTTTATTTATTTATTTTAGGAAATAACTAACCTATCTTTTTTTTTTTTTTGTTCTTTGAAAAAACCCTTTAAGGGAGCTTAAATAACTAACCTATCTTGATAGATATTTAAGATAAACTTTATATCTTTCTCTATCAACAAAGATAAAATTAAAAAAAAAAAATTACATAATTTTTCAATTTTTTTTTTTAAAAAAAAAAAGAAAGAAAAGAGTATGAGTTTATTTTTTTTAAAAAAATTTTCATAAAAAAATCATAAAGCTTATTAAATTACTACATAATATATTTAATATATGAGTTTAGGTTGCGCCTTTCACAATAAATCTTGTGTATTACTCAATATTTTGTAAAACATTATAAATTAAGTAATATGTCACAGGTTTTGTAAATATAATGGATCATGTGAACATTAGTAGGCATAAAATTACAAGCATTAGTCCATACAAGTTTAGAATTGAACCAATTGTATACTAAGGCCCTGTTCTTTTGAGCTTCTGGACAGAGTAGAGCAGAGCAGAAGTCAGCAGAGCAGATTGAAGCAAAGCAGAGCTAAACTAATCTATCTTTTAGTTTCTAGGATAAAACTTTCTATATTTCTCAACGTAGTAGTTTAACGATTTTTTATCTTTTAGTAAGATAAAAAATTATATTATATTTTACCTACGAATTTCTAATTTAAATTACCCACTAACAAAAAGGTGCAAAAAAAAATAAAAAAAAATTATTGGGATTAAAAAAAATTAATAAACTATTATTTGCGAATTACTAATTAAAATGGGGTTTATCATTGCTAAGAGTGATAATTCACTGTTTACTTTCCGACAGGGTGATTATATGGCTTATTTGCTTCTTTATATTGATGATATTATATTAGCCACATCTAATGACATGTTGCGAGCCGGAATTATTTCTCAGTTACAAAATGAGTTTCCTATGTCAGATTTGGGGCCTTTGAGCTATTTTTTGGGCATTGCAATGACTCGTACACCGTCATATACTCATATTTATCTCTATCTTAGCTGAAATATGCACATGAGATCTTAGAACGGCAGGTATGGCTTCTTGTAAACCCTCAACAATTCCTATCAATACTAAGCCCAAACTTAGTGCAGATTCGGAACCACCATTCCGGGATCCTACTTTATACCGCAGTTTAACAGGTGCTCTTCAGTATTTCACTTTCACTAGATGAAAGCCCGTGGATGCACGATTTTTCATACATATATCTCAGGGAAAGATATTTTCCTATATACTCTAAGTTTTTTTTTCTTTTTCTTTTTTTTTTTTATTTTTTATTATAATTATTTGATTTATTTTACAATTTAATAATTTCAGACAAAAAAAATAAACAAAAACAAATAATAATTTAATTAAAATGATATTGCCAATTATAAAAGTATAATTTTTTTAATGTAATTTATAATGCGACTTAATTTATTGTTGTTTTGTATTTTATTCGTTGTTATTAGTTATATGACAATAATATGATACCTTTCAAAAAAAGAAAAAAAAATTGTAAATATGATATTTCATTGATTACATATTAGAATAAAATATTTAATGTGAAAAGATAATAATTTTTATTTTTAAAATAATTTAAATCCTAAATCATTATTCGTTGCTTTTTACACTTGAAATTAAACTCTCAAATCTATATACAAGTACCATTTTGTATATTTCTTGTGACCTTCTTTGATCTCTAACAAATTATCTGTCTTTTCAATTTTTTAGACATAAAATTTTTAAAGAAGGTAAAGTTTTTTTATTGCGTAATAAGTTTTAAATTTATTTTTATGAAAAAAACATCTTATTAATCGGGTATTTAGATAAAACCATTAATTTCATAAGATAATTTTTATTTTTTTAATAATTTAAATCCTAATATCCCATGATTTTTTATACATAAAATCTCATAAAAATAATTTTTGTAATTAGAATCCAACTCATAATATTTTTAATTACTTTGCTATTGTTTGTTAAGGATAATTTTTTATTAATTTTATGTAATTTATTCCCCTAATAAATATTTTGATAAGAACATTAAAAATAATAGTTATTAGATGTAATATTTCTATGTAAAAAAAATTGTATTAAAAAAATTTCGATAGGATCACCAATTTTGTTCACCGCCATATCTCTTCCATCTGATAAAAGTGGATAAATTAAACATGTAAGCAAAAATAAAATTTATATAAAATTAATCTTTATAGTCTTATAAAATAAATTAAATTATTTACCAGAAAGTGAATAATTGTTGTGAAATTAATCTAAAAATTGTAATTATACAAAATTAAATCTATGCATTGGAATTTTTTTATCGTCCCCAATCGCCCAAACAATAGTATTTTGGAAAATTGAATCATTATTTTATTGTCGCTGACAATATTGCTTCTTATTTGTAACGACTGAAAAGTATCTAATGAAGTAAACTTTTCCTTCAATCAATTTTGAACAAAATTGTAAAACAAAGTTGACTTTAATTGAGGCATGAACGTAATTACCCTGTAATTAAAAATAAAAAATTAAGTTAATTTTATGACTTAATTAAGCTACCTAAATCACAAAAAATTTGGTTTAATCATAAATTAATTGATAAAAATTAAAAGGTTCATTAAAAGATTTGATAAATGTAAAAGATTTATAAAGATATAATACCTCCTCATCCAATAGGATCATCAGGTGAGAAACTCGTACTTTGATATTCCAAAGATTTTTGCTCGAATATAATTCTCTGATTAAATTAGATCTGCATGTAAAAACAAAATTCAGTAAATAAAACATAAACATATAATCATTAAGTATCCCAAATAAACACAATTTAAGCAATAATCACAAATATACATTTAAACATGGGTTTTAAAAATTAGGCTAAGAATTACCCATCCATTGATGACCTAATAAAACTGACACAAAATTAATGACACAAAATTTGCTTGGTTTGGTTTGTATTGATACGAAATTTTGTTGATGTTATATAATGCGTCAATTTATAAAGGTAAATATCACAAATTTTAATTTAATTATAATTAAGGAATAATTTTTATTTCTTATCATAAACACTATCAAAATTTATCTTATAATAGTAGGTATATTCTTATCATAAACACTATCAAAATTTATCTTATAATAGTAGGT